GGTCCCTCAGCCCTGTGCCGCCCCCCCAGCATGGCCACCCGCTGCGCCAGGCCTGGTCCTTCTGCAAGGACAGCTCACCCCTGAGGTCCCTGGGGCTCAGGGGACAGACCTTCAGGTAGGTCTGTGGCATCTTCTTCCTGCTGGTGTATGGATGTTCTGGAGCACCCAGGGGGCATTGGGGTACCGCAGCCAGGAGCTGCCCTTCCCTGGTACCCCAGGGATCCAGACATGTGCTTGGGGGGCACACGTGAGCGCAGAGGGGGGCTTCGCATGGGGGCCCAGCTGGGGCAGGGCAGCAGGCATGGCACCAAGCATGGCACCAGAGGGAGGGCAGGCACTCGCCCACCAGACCGATGGATGAGCTCCTCCACGCCCAGGCAGGGCAGCACGCCTTGTTCATCCTCTGTAGATCTGATGCCACGGTGATGGGCACAACCCATGTGCTTTGCTAAGGTGATGAGAGCACCTGGCTTGCAAAGTCACCAGCTTTCACCTTGTTGTGGTTTAACCTTGGCTGTAAGCACCACACAGCCACTTGCTCACTCCCCCCAGTGGGATGGGGGAGAGAATCTAAAGTGAGAAAATTTGTGGGTTGAGATAAAGACAGTTTAATAGGTAAAGCAAAAGCCATGCACACGCAAAGGAAAACAAGGAATTAATTAATGACTTCCCACAAGCAGGCAGGTGTTCATCCATCTTCAGGACAGCAGGGCTCCATTACGCATAACCGTTACTTGGGGAGACAAACACCATCACTCCAAATGTCCCCCCCTTTCCCTCTTCTTCCCCCGGCTTTATATGCTGAGCATGATGTCATATGGTGTGGGATATCCCTTGGGTCAGTTGGGGTCAGCTGTCCCAGCTGTGTCCGCTCCCAGCTTTTTGTTCACCCCCAGCCCACTCACCTATGGTTCTCACTTGGGATGCCCTCCCGCTCCATCCCAACCCATTAGCCCCAAATCTCTGCCCAAGGGCTGTCTCAGCTCACACCCAGACCCCTCCTGAAACCCGCCCCATCCTGCTGACCTGCTTGGATGTCCTGGTGCCCAGCAGGCCAGGGGTAGGATGTGAGGTCCACCCCACTGTGGGGACACCCCAGCTGTCCAGCACACCCAGCATGAGGGCAACCTCCACCTCCTTCCCTGCCCCTGACCGCACCTAGGTAAGTGTATACTTCCCTGTCTGGGCCACAAAGTTCTCCCTCGCCGCTCAGCTGTTCTTGGTCTTCTCCCAAAAGTCCTTCTTGGCAGGGGAGCAGCCTGGGAGTGGGGGTGCTGCTATGGCAGGGCTGTGGGGCTGCGAGCAGGAACAGGCCAAACCACTAGCACTAGCCTTTCCGCCTGCCTGTTGCCTTCCTGCCTGCTGCCTTCCTGCCTGCCTCCTGCCTGCTGCCTTCCTGCACGCCTGCCCCCCGGCTCGTCCCTCCGCGCGTGCT